TGTCGAACACCTGTGTATCATTATTACCTGAAGCAACAGACTCTTGGATTTGAACTGGAGTGTTTTTATTTCTTTTTTACCAAATGGAAATTTGCATCCATTTGAAATTCAATGATTACACGAGGTGTTCCACAAGGTTCCACTTTTGGACCTTTTTTTTTTGCAAATGCAATAATAAAGTTAACTACTAATTATGATTCTGGTTACCTTTGGGCATTGCAAGTGACAACATTTAAATGTGTAAATACTTCTATTTCATTATAGTAAAATGACTACAGGGTTTCTATTAGACCTGATGGCTGTGATAAGGGAGTTAAGGTTTAGTGATTGTGGTTGGTCAGATCCATGTGTTCTTCTGAATGCCGGAAAAGCAGCCAAAGAGAGACACCAAGGAATTTGCTAATTCAATCTCTGAAGAGGATGAGCTTTCCTAGCATACTCATCTGTAGTCTTAATCCATCAGCCGCAATCCAGTGTCAAGTATCCAAAGGTAAACAGGTAGCACTTCCACAAAACATAATGTCAGTCTGTTAACATCACCGAAATACATCAGCTAAAGTGAGATTGTCACCTTTTCCTGAAGTTTTATTGAAATGCTGCCTGTTCAGATTTGGATACTTGAGACTGGAAACATCTGGTCATTTATTTCCCACATGTAGCATAAAAAAAAATGGTGTATGTATATAGAGTACTGTGCAAAACTCTTGTTTTGTGCCTTGTTCGTTTATATTTTGTTGGGAAATGGGAAATAAGTGTAGCGATTTAATGAAACATGCAAGTATACAAAACTTTTTTTACCACTTTAACTAGCTTTAAAGTCAATATATTGTATGAAAATCTTTACTTTTCAACAGAGCCTGAAATCACTTCCTTGAAATTTGAAAAAGTAATACTTCTCCAGGCTTCTTGAAGGACATTCCAAAGCTCTTCTTTGGTTGTTGGTTGCCTTTCTGTGCCTTGTTTTGTGGATCAACACAGGGCTTACAAGGCACCAGTTCAAAGGGCCAAATGCAATTCCCACTAATCAGTTTCCTCAATTTTTTTTAAGGACACAAATATGCTAAGTTATTGGCTAATATCTAGGAATCCGCTTGTCAGTACAAAAATGCTATTTTATGCCTGTCAAACTGTGGTAACGATGGTATTTTTGTAGATTCTACTAAAAGAATCGGTTGCTAGTAATCATTTAAAATTATTGTTTTGCTAATTTATCTATTATGTGTAGATACAGCACTGGTTTGTCTGGTTGGGTTAGGTGTCTATGCTTGAATGATTCAGTGTTCAGTGGCTTAACTAAAAAATAAACAACAGTCCTTTGAAAATGGGCAGGTAAGGCTGGGCTGTATGACCACAAATCAAAAGTCACAAGTCACATCCATGACAGCTGTGATTGATTTTCAATCAGTTGTCCAGCCCTATGTACAAGGACTAGAATGCAGCCAGTATCCAAAGAATAAGTTTGAAAAACATTCTGAAAACCTGGAGAACTATTGCTCAATACCACTTTACAAAAAGTACAAGACAGTCTGGGTCTTTGAAAGGAAACTAAAGAAACAAGAGGTCACTCAAGTCTACTGTTCCAGCAGGAAATCATATTTAATGTTGTTTATGTGATGCAGCTTCCCTCTAAGTAGAGATAAGTTGGTGGATATTAGCTGCACAACTAAAACAATATGAAGTCATAACATTCTCACTAAATTTGTATTCAGTTTTTCAAACTGCTGTATTTTTTCTACCTATGACACACTGTAGATCACATTGTCTTTTAACAGCACTGCATTCTTTGTTATCGTTTCCATCCTGTCGCATCTAGACAGCAATATCTCAAGAGGGCAATAGACAAACTCAACAGCTGAACTACTGAACAAGTAGTAGTATGCACAACTACTTAATGTTGACAAGAAAATTTGATGAGATCTACTGCATAAATATTATGACGTTGGATGCACTGTGCGTGTGTGTGTGTGTGTGTGTGTGTGTTTTTACTGACTCCAAGGAGAGCTTCTCCTCTTCTTCATTCAAGTTAGGGAGTCTGTGTAGACCTAAAGTCATCCTCAGGGCATCAACATGCTCCTTCAGTGGTTTGTACTCATCATGCAGGCGCCGAGTTGTTTCAAGCAGTTTATTGAGGTCATTCTCTGATTGCTTGATGGTGCTCTCCATCTAAAAGCACAAGCAAAGCAAGGGCTGATTTTTGAGAAATGCACATGTAATATACTCAGCCTAAGCTATCTGTAGTAACATATAACCACTGGAATCTTTCATCCTGCTACATAACACCAGCAGACACTACAGTGACTAGAAGTTGTTGTGAAATCACATGAAAGTTCAACAGTGATTTAGTGGCACTTACTAGAGAACAGCACCCACTCACCACATTGATATCTGCATGGATGAGGCGCAGCTCCTCCACATGGGCCATTTTTTCTTGAAGCAGGAGATCCATTTCTTGTTTGTACTCTTTCAAATGTTTCTCCTCAGACTCCAGAGCCTCAAACTCAATCTTCAGACGAGACTTAATCTTCTGCATTTGGATAGTCTTATTCCTGCAGGCAGTGGGACAAGGAAAAAGACATGAGCTGCCAGGTTGTCTCAGTCACTCCTATGCACACGGCGCAAAAGATTTTAAACATAAAAGCAAACACAAACACATTTCCATCTGCTTTGCGGTATTGAATTTGTGCATATTTCTAAGCTCTAATTGCAGTAATGTTATGACCTATTTAAGTGAGCCTGCACTGTAATTAATTCATACATAATTACTGTATCAAAGCGTTATAGCAAGGGAAACATTACTTTGCACTACACTACATTACACCGACAGCCTGCTAAGCTAAGGAGCTACCTGGCAGACAGTAACAATTAGCAACGCACATCTGGCATCTTGTTGTCACACATCTGGAATGTGGATGCACATGGCTCAAATATGCGGTTAAATTACAACTTGCTTATATGTGTCATATTCAGCCCGCCTGCCACTTCGGTCAAAAACAAGTTAACACAGAGCTACACTCGCTCAAACCTGTTTAAAGAAAGGACACAGAGCAGGTCGGCTAATATTAGCTAGCTCAGTAACAAAAGCGAAGCCAAAGGGGCTTTTACCTTGGTCGGCTAATGTTAGCTAACATAGCGTATACTTAGTACGTGCCAAACATTCAGGCAACCTTTAATTGTATCCGACATCTGAGTTTTACCGTATCTCCAGGATGTTCTCCAGTTTGCACATTATTTCTTGTTCGTCTGCCATCATTCACCAGTCACTAGTCGTTCAGCTGGCCAGCTCAGTTACCCGCGAGGCCAGGGTGGTCCCCTTGTTGATAAAAACACAATAGCCAACGCGAGCGCGCACACGAGCACGCGTCCGTACTGTAAAAGCGTGGCTACGTAATGACAAGTGGAACCGCGAGCCCCCTGCTCCAAGCAACCCCAAGCAACCTGCGAGACACTCAAGTACAAACTGTCCACTTCCTCTCTCTAAAGTAACTATATAAAAGCTATTTAAAGAAACTCACGGTCAACAAACAAAGCACAA